CTGTTCGCTGCCCTCCCACCCTCCAGCACATGTCTAACTCTCTGGAGAGCCAAGGGCTCATTTGTAAAGTTTTGGTAAAGGTTATAGCGCTTGCAAATTTTATTCTGAAGCCTGAACTCTCTTTCAGAACTTTTATTCCCCGAAAGCAATTAGTAATCACACAGATGATGATGTAATTTATTCTTGTTAAGATTGGTTTCAGCTACCTTCCCCCCGCCTTTCTCTCTCTGCTCCCAATATCCACTCTCGTGGTTTCAGTCTATTTCAGTGACTAATTTCCATGTTTTCATGCCTGTCACTTTAATATAGTATTTTTCTTAGCAAATATACACGAAATCTTAGTTAGAAATATATTGATAGACTAAAAGGAAAAAGGAAAACTTCCGACGTTTCTGTATCTTTGAAATGGCAAGAGGTCACACAATCGTCAGGGAGTCAGCCTTAGAAAGTGGAGAGCTTATTTGTGTATCTTGCATCTTTTATTGAAGGAAACAATAGCCTGCGCCCTCGGTTTGGGGCTCTTGGCGCCGCCCAGTGGAGGGAAACACCTTTGCACCCATCCCCGTCAGTTAGCATTGTCAAACTGCGGAGCCTTAGAAACGTTCAAGGTAAATATGACAGGAAGAAACACCGGCCCCAAGTTCATTGAAACCTGTGGCTGAATTTCTTCACACTTAAACTCCACGAAAATAATTTGATGCTGGAGTTTAGATAAACTCCCAAACACCAAATCTAACTGAAAGTGGACTGCTTTAAGGAACAGAACTTGTTCCAATGGGAGTGTTTGAATTGTTCTCTTCAGTGGAAAAGGAGTATATTTGGTACTTATTGGCACTCATGTGTCCTCTATCGCCAGGAAGAAAGTTCGGTCTCTGTTATCCATAGTTGGCAAAGAAATGCTTTCTGAAAGAGAATTCCAACATCTTCCCAACACTAAAGCCTGCTTGTCTCTTTCTTTCTTTCCTTCCTTCCTTTTTCTTTTCCCTTCTTTCTCTTTCTTTCTCCTTCCTTCTTTCCTTCCTTTTTTCTTTTCTTCCTCCCTCCGCTCTCCTTCTTAGAAAGGAAATGAAAGCATGAAAGTGGAAGATCATTTAAGAACTCTTGTCGGGTTAGGAGCTCTATTTCTGTGTATTTAAATCTGGTGTGTGTGGGGGAATTTGAAGTTAAATCGTTAATGCAATTCCTTTAATTTGGGAATGTGATTCATTTGCACCCTGCTCTATTTCTGAATTTTGACGTTTTAAAATGAAAAATGAATTAGGTTTGTTTTGATGGAGAATGCATGACTTCTTGGTTGTATACATTATATATATATATATATATATATATATATATATACACACTCAGAAAAATAATGGCAAAGAGGAATATGTCTGGAGAAAAAAATAACAGAAAAGATATAAAAAAAATCCAGCTCTAAAGAATTGGTTTTTCATGAAGCTTATGATCTGTCCTTTTTTTAAAAAAATTATTATATTTAACTTTTTAAAAATTCAATGAGAGAGAGAGAGGAAGTGAGAAAGCCGCCAGGTCCAGGACTAGAACCATGGTTGACCATGTGGGAGTCCAGCACTCTTAACCATCATGCCACCTGCTGCCCCCCTTATGATTTGTTCTTTGAGTTTCTCTTTTGATTCTTTTAGGCCACTATTAGCATTTCTTCTTTGGGAGTGACCCAATAGAGGCATCTTGGTAAAAGTCAAGGTTGTATTTCCCCTTGACCATTGTTGCTCCTGGAAGCTGATCTCCTGACCTGCACCCAAAGGAATGTTCTATGATGTTAACTTAAAAAAAAATACGTTGTGAGACATTCATAGGTGGGGCCTACTGGGCTCCTGTTTGCTTCGCTTTAGAGTTGTACAAAGCACGCAATCCCCTCCCTCAAACACTTGGACCTTTCTCATCCCCCCCCCTTTTTTTAACAGATTTCATTTTTTGGTAGGGTCATATTTCTTGTCATCTCCCCTGCCAGTGTCGTGAATTATTCCAAGCAAAAAATCCTGTCGAACCGCCCGTCACCAGCCGTGCGATCCGCCTTTTGAGCTCTCGAGTCATTTTTAGGCGTCGGAACAAAACAAAAACAGGCTTAAATGAATTATTTATCAAGGTCGAGAATAATTGATTTGTGCAATGGCGTTACTTCTGGATTTTAAATTTGTTTTCTCCCCCTTCTTACCCTGAACACGAAGCGCGGGGAGTGAGTTGGAGCCCCCGGGGCTAGGAGAGAACGCACCTCATTCGGGAAGTTAGTGGGTGATGTCAGAATGGGAAGAACCCTAATCGATATCTGAAAGGGGAAGAGTGTGTAGTCTGCCTGCATCTTGGGCAGCCCCAGCCCCTTCCCGCCCTTCCCGCAGCGGAGCACCGAGGCCGCAAGGGTGTGCCCGCCGGACCTTGCAGTCTCTAAGTTGCCCAGGTGTTCGGCACTCATGGTTCCACACTCATGGTTCGGTAACCCGGTGGAAGGCCAAGGTCCGGCCGGCCTGCAAGCTCCCGGAAGGGTCTGTCTGGCCCGCACACAGTCCCCACGCCACAGGCAGCAGATCCAGCCCGGCTCTAGCCAGCGTTCAGGCCCTCCGCGGCATCCTGACCTAGAGGGGCCCGACCCCGCTTGGCGAGTCCAGCCGCACGTTCCCGAGGGGCTCCTGGTACCCCTCAGGCCAGCGTGGTCTCTGCCTGGAACACATCCGGCGACCTCGCCTGGGCTTACCAACCCGATTCCTCCGCCAAACTCCCCTCGCCTTCTGAGAACGGCGAGAGCTGCTGGGACGGTCTAGCTCCTTGCCTCGGCCCCTTCTCGCCCCATTGTTCTCCTCGGAGGTAGCCCCGGGGAAAATGGCACGAAGATGCTAAGAAACAGCTCAACACTCAGAACAGCGCAGGCTTTTTCTGGGTCAAACTTATCTATTTCCCTAGGAAAAGGCAGGAAGGCTGTCTCCCAGCTACCCCTTTCAGGTCCTAGAGGGCTCACACACAGCGGCAGTTCCCACCGAAAGGCAAAATTTGGTCCCCGGAGGTCACTAGCTTTCATGACACCCTCCCCCCACCCCCCACCCCCGTCTTCAATAGAAAAAAGGAGATTTCCCAGAGAGAGACCTGCCGAACCACAGCAAGCCCCAGGTTTTGGCTCAGCCCTTGGAGACCTTACAGGCCATTTTCGAAGATCATTCTGCACCTAGTCACGGAAGCGATGCCAGCCACGCAGATTCATAGGGTTCTTAAAATGGTAATTTGGAGTAAAATGTAACTCAAAGAACTTTGAATCATTCATTAGCACCTTATAATTACTCTGCTAATTAGGTTGGCACGGCACTTAATCAGGAGTAATACGCCGTCTTGTCACTGGCACTTCCCATTACTCTGACATTCAACAAGAGACAGGTTGGAGACGTCCTAGAGAAAATAATGCAAGTTGATACCCTCCGACGAGGCGTCACAGTCATGCTCCGGGTCCCAAGTGGATCCGCAGTGACTGTTTCCTTTCCAAATGAGAAGCCAGCCAAAGGGGAGAGGGAGGACAGACAAACCGGCGTGTGGCGCAGCCGGGACACAGGCTGCGGACCCGCCACCGGACTCCTGAGCCCCAACTGCCCAGACACCACACTGAACCGTGGCTGGTCCCCCCACGGCCCCCCCCCCGCCACTAGAGAACGTCTCGGGCGTTATTTCCCCCTTTCGGAAGAAAGCGTTCGGACAAGCATTTCTTCCGGCACCGACTGTGATGGCAGACAAGGCTGGGACCCCAGGTTTTGTGCCGCCAGTCACCTCCTCCCTGAGCGTGCCCGGTGGACGCGGACCCAGCTCTTATCTCCCTCAGGGCCCCGCTGCCCAGGTAGGCCGAGCCGGATTGCCTAGGCTGCTGGGGAAGAAATCAGAGCTCCGACCCACCCGCCTGCCCAGCTAGTGCTCCGGCTCCTGAAGTTACACACTTTCCTGTGGCTCTTTCAGGGATCTCTGTTCTCTGCTTTTAGTGTCTTCAGACTATTCAGGCGCGCGTTTGGGGAGGCTGCAGGGGCCGCCGCGCTGGAGTCTAAAGGTAAGTCGAAGGTAGGTGGCCTTGTTTCCTTCCCCCGGGGCGTCCTCTTCCCTCTTCTGATTTCAAACAGGCCCATCGTTATTACTTTTTTTCTTTCTTCTCCCCGTCGGCCCCCTTTCTCACTCTGTCCCTTCCCTCTCTTCCCTCTCCCTGTGCCCCTCACTCGTGATTGTGGACACCGGGACCACTGAACTAGGTGCTCGGCTCTAGGCTGCAGGCTGGGACGTGCAGGTTCTCAAAAGAGCAGCGGGGTTCGAGCGGCGCTGGCTGACGGGCTCGCTAGCTGCGCGCCCATTGGCTTCTGGCACGTCGGCGTCGCTCGCTCGCGCGGGCGCGACCAATGGGGGCGAGGGGCCGGGCGCGCGGCCTCGGCGGCGGG